AGACAGGCTCTCATTCTATCATCTAGGCTGGAGTGCAGTGGTGTGATCATAGCTCGCTGCAGCCTCCATTTCCCAGGCTCAAGCAGCCCTCCTGCCTCAGCCTGCCAAGTAGCTGGGACAAAAACACACACCACCACACCCAGCTAAATTTTTTAAACTTTATTATTATTATTATTTCAGTAGAGACAAGGTCCTACTATGTTGCTAAGATTAGTCTCAAAACCTTGAGCTCAAGCAATCTTCCTCCCTTGGCCTGTCAAAGTGCTGGAATTACAGGTGTAAGCCACCATGCCCAGCTTATCTGCTTCTTTCTGTGCCTAGAGACATGCTCTCAGTATATTCTCTGTAACCTGAGTCCCTGTAACATCACGCTACTCTCAGCCCCTGCCTTTCCTTTCCATTCACCATTTTATGGCCAGAATTAATGCAAATTTGAAAATGTGATTCTGTTATACATATCTGATACCCTCCAGAAATTAGTCATTGTCCTAGGGATCAAGCTGAAATTCCTTATCACAGCTGACACAGCAAGGGACACCTGGCCTCTCCTTACTTCTCCAGTTTCTTTCTCCCACACTTGCTGCACTGACTTCAGGGCATCAAGCATTCTGAACCACTTGTGGCTCTCCAATGCCACATGGCCTATCAAGACTTTGGACATCTCCATGTGTGATGAATTTACTAGCATGTCATCCATCTCCATGTACTCCACTGCTTGTCCTACCCCACCCCTGCAGTTGCAGACATGCTCACCTGAACTCATGTAAACTTATTATTTAGTCCTTTATCTTTCTACTCACCTATCATTTACTTATTTGTCAATTTTTAAAACACAAAAAAATACTTTTAAAAATTTTAGTTAGCTGCTCATCAAAAAGTCAGAAGATCTGTTAACAATAAACCTTCTTCCCGGCATGACGGTTCTCAGCTGCACTAGGGTCAGCTCCTCTAAGATAGACCATGTCTTCTCCACTTGGGTACAGACCCCACTAGGATGACTTCATTCATTCATGTTGCCTTCCTGGCCACTGCAAGTATTTAGCTTTAACCCTGTTCTTCTAATATACTTTTATTTTTTCTTGTTTGTTTCTTGTATATAGTTAGTTCACCGTAATTTTAGAAGAACAAAAATCAGGTACCATTATACTTAGAGAAGCTTAAGGGTGTCTTCTTTTTCCTTTTTCCTTTTTATTTATATTTATTTATTTGTGGCTCAGCCTTAATCTCTGAGCTCTTTGAGGACGAGAACAATGCCTCTGGTTCTAAAAACAATAT